GCTTCAGAACTTTCTACACGTTAACGTCAAGTAAAATCCGGTCGCTATATGAAACAGCAACCGGCTTTTACTTGACGTTAACGTGTAGAAAGTTCTGAAGCCAGTAAACAGTTTCAACTGTGAAAAACAAGAAACAATCGATTGAAATATAATGAATCTGTTATGAGAGACCAAATCTGAACTTCTATCGTGAAAATAATTTAGAATCGTTTCTGATATTTTCAGTTAGCGTTGACGTAATAGTAAGAATGACTCACATCAGTGGTCTCAGCTACTTTACAAGTTAAAGCAAACTTTACACAGGCCATTTTTCTGAAAGGATACGCCAGTTACCATACTACATTTTTCTATTAAAACTCGACGCATGCGTAATTCTTTGTTCTGTGTTTTCTAATTAATATATAAATATGTTTTATATTTGCTGAATTTAAAATTTATACACGACAAGTATGGGTTCTTGAAGACATCCACTTTACAGAAATATGCCATCACTATTGTGTAACGTAAACTCCAAAGAGATGACGTTAATATTTTATGTACAACTGTTTTTATTTGCTGCAAATAAAGGTATGTGTCAATGGTATATGATTATAATTTTATTATTCTTATGTAGATTCATACGAGGCAAACTTATAACTAGGTGTGAGTATCTCATCATAGTAGCCGATACGACACGTATCTAGATATTGATCCCGCGATACGATACGTATCTACATACAAAAGTTTTATCAACGGTTTGTTACAAAGTTTGACAGTCTTGTCTGTAATGTATTATCTATATTACTAACATTGTATTATTTAAATACTTCACACTTTACAGTGCTTTTTCTAATTCTCAGGTTTGATCAACTAAACGACAGTAGATAAGAGAAGTAAAGAAAAAAAATAGTTTATTTATATCTAATTCGTTATTGTTAATTTGTTATGTTACTTTACATGTAATGTTTTTGATAAAATAAATTAAGACAACATGTAGTACTCAATACTCATCTTCCTTTATTGAATCATAAATTTTTAGCAAAAATACTTTATTGGAAATTCTAATTTGTTTTGCACAAAAGGTCCCCCGGTGGGACAGCGGTAAGTTTTCCGATGTATAACGCTAAAATCAGGGGTTCGATTCCCGTCAGTGGACACAGCAGATAGGCC